CCGCCCCGAGCCGCCCCGAGCCACACACGGTGACTTCCTGTGGGGGATTTCACAATAAAGGCGCTGTTGCAAATAAGGCGTGTGAGGAAGTGTCATCCTCTCCTAAATGTCCTGTGTTCACGACAAAGATGAAAATATGTCTTTAGCACAACAATGCGGAGATATTAAAGACATTAACATTTTCAAGCCTTAGATATAAACTAAATTTACCTGCCAAGCTCTCTCTAGTTTTACACATACTGTTACCTGGATTTCTGCATAAATTGGTCATAAAATGTGATCAGATCTTCATTGAAGTAACAACAACAGACAAACACAGTCTGCTTAAACTAATAGCACATAAATAATTGTAGGTTTTCATGTTTTTATTGACCACACTGAGTAAACAGGCTGGAAACCCTTAGATTTAATAACTGCTGGACCCTCATTTGGCAGCAACAAATTTCTTCTCCATTACCCGTCCAACAGGAAGAAAGCCAACTCTGTGTCAGTTTTGTCTGCTCCAAAATAAATCAGAGAAGTGTTTCTGATGTTGACTGTGTTTTTACCAGAAGTTGATCTTATTCTTTGTCCTGAAAGGCTCCAGCACATAAAACTTTGTTGCTGGTTTTTATCCTTTCGTGGAGTTTGATGGAGTCTGTGTTGCAGTTTTTTTATGGTGTGCGGTGTTGTTGTTGCTGTGTTTACGTTTCAAATTGAGCAGGAAAGAGGTTCGGGAGCGCACAAAATCAAACCCGGAGTCTTCACAGAGGAATAAGCATACTGGCCGTCAGAATTAACAGAAAAACCCGACAACGCTTCACACTCAGGCAGTAAAAAAGGGATTCATTTCATTAAAAAACTACACATGGCTCCTTTAACAGGGTGTACTGGGTTACAAACATGTAGTTTAAGCAGGGTTAAAGAACCGTCGGTGTAAAAGAGAGAACTACCACATCGTTTTCACATTGTTGTAGAAAACAGGTTTGTTTTGATTCATCAACTTTTTCCTTTTGTCAAATCTGACATCTCGTGTGATCATGAAAGGTCGAATCAAAGGATAGTAATCCAAAAGTCAGCTGACTGTTGATGTGCCCAATTTGCCCTTCCTGGGGACCCTGGATGTAGCCCTGGATGTAGTCCTGGATGTAGTCCAGGATGTAGTCCAGGATGTAGCCCTGGATGTAGCCCTGGATGTAGTCCAGGATGTAGCCCTGGATGTAGTCCAGGATGTAGCCCTGGATGTAGTCCTGGATGTAGCCCTGGATGTAGTCCAGGATGTAGTCCAGGATGTAGCCCTGGATGTAGCCCTGGATGTAGTCCAGGATGTAGTCCTGGATGTAGCCCTGGATGTAGCCCTGGATGTAGTCCAGGATGTAGCCCTGGATGTAGCCCTGGATGTAGTCCAGGATGTAGTCCAGGATGTAGTCCAGGATGTAGCCCTGGATGTAGCCCTGGATGTAGCCCTGGATGTAGTCCAGGATGTAGCCCTGGATGTAGCCCTGGATGTAGTCCAGGATGTAGCCCTGGATGTAGCCCTGGATGTAGTCCAGGATGTAGTCCAGGATGTAGCCCAGGATGTAGTCCAGGATGTAGCCCTGGATGTAGCCCTGGATGTAGTCCAGGATGTAGCCCAGGATGTAGCCCTGGATGTAGCCCTGGATGTAGCCCTGGATGTAGCCCTGGATGTAGCCCTGGATGTAGTCCAGGATGTAGTCCAGGATGTAGTCCTGGATGTAGTCCTGGATGTAGCCCTGGATGTAGCCCTGGATGTAGTCCAGGATGTAGTCCAGGATGTAGCCCCAGTAGGTGACTCCATAGTTCTGCTGGGAGACTTTAACGCACTCGTGGGCAATGATGAGACACCTGGCGCGGCCTGATAGGGAGGCCTCCCTGTTGTCTTCTGTGCTTTGGTGTGATTTTGTGATCGAGGCCCCTCATACCTCCGGCAGACTTTGGGGGCATTGAACCTGAATGGGCAAAGTTCAAAAGCTTCCATGCTGTGGCAGAGAGCTGTGGTCCCAAGACACCGTGCATTACAAACATATAGACAGGTACAGGAGGGATACTGGGAATACTGGGAATACGACCACTTCAACCTGCTGCTGAATCCACAAACTGAACAAGAGTTTGACGAGAACAAAGACTCAAAGTGAAGGTAACTTTCAGGGCCGTTACTGAAGGAGGGAGTGGCTGACTGTTTCCTGTCTGAGCGTCTGCTGCTGTGACTTCAGCTTCACTCAGAGACTAAATGGCTTCCAGATTAGAGGAAGATCTCTGCTGTCCTGTCTGCCAGGACATCTTTAAAGATCCTGTCATCCTGTCATGTTGCCACAGCTTCTGTAAAGGCTGTCTGCAGAGCTGGTGGACAGAGAGAGGAAGTCGGGAGTGTCCAGTTTGTAAGAGGAGACATTCAAAGGACGGACTGCCTCCTAACTTTGCTTTAAAGAGCCTGTGTGAGAGTTTCCTACAGGAGAGAGATCAGAGAGCTTCAGAGGCTCTCTGCAGTCTGCACTCTGAGAAACTCAAACTCTTCTGTCTGGAACATCAGGAGCCAGTTTGTGTCGTCTGCAGAGACTCAGAAAAACACAGCAACCACAGATTCAGACCCATCGATGAAGCTGCACAACAACACAAGAAGGAACTTCAGGAAACTCTGAAATCCTTAAAGGAGAAGTTAAAGGTTTGTGAACGAGTTAAAGTGAAGTTTGATCAAACAGCAGAACACATGAAGGTCCAGGCCCGACACACAGAGAGGCAGATTAAGGAGCAGTTTAAGAAGCTTCAGCAGGTTCTAGAGGAGGAAGAGGAGGCCAGGATGGCTGCACTGAGGGAGGAAGAGGAGCAGAAGAGTCAGATGATGAAGGAGAAGATGGAGGCTCTGAGCAGAGAGATAGCAGCTCTTTCAGACACAGTCAGAGCCACAGAGGAGGAGCTGAGAGCTGAAGACGTCTCATTCCTGCTCAACTACAAGGCTGCAGTGGAAAGAGTCCAGCAGCGCCCCCTGCTGGATGATCCACAGCTGCCCTCAGGAGCTCTGATAGACCAGGCCAAACACCTGGGCAACCTGACCTTCAACATCTGGAACAAGATGAAGGACATGGTCTCCTACGCTCCTCTGATCCTGGACCCAAACACTACTGGTCAAGAACTCACCCTGTCTGAAGATCTGACCAGTGTGAGACGAGGAGAGAGACAGCAGCTTCCTGACAATCCAGAGAGGTTTGATTATCACTGGTGTGTCCTGGGCTCTGAGGGCTTTAACTCAGGGACTCACAGCTGGGATGTCGAGGTTAAAGACAGTACAGGCTGGAGACTGGGAGTGTTATCAGAGTCTGTCCAGAGGAAGGGAGTCATACGGTCTGGATTATGGAGAATATGGTTCAATAGAGGTAAATACTCAGCGCAGTCACCACTGTCTCAACCCACTGATCTCAGAGTGCAGAAGAAGCTCCAGAGGATCAGAGTGAAGCTGGACTGGAACAGAGGAAAGCTGTCGTTCTCTGATCCTGATACTAACACACACATACACACCTTCACACACACTTTCACTGACAGGATGTTTCCATATATTTACACTGGGGATGAACTCCCACTGAAGGTTTTACCAGCGAAGGTCTGTGTGACTGTAGAACAATAATAATATGATGATGGACTCTGAGGATCATGTGACTGTGTTGTCCTGGTGAACAAATCAGCAGAAAACATCTGGGCCAAAAATAGATTCCTGTAATTTTTCAGGAGTGTATGGAAGATTTTATTTTACTTTAATATTTGTAACCCACAGAAAACAATCCACAAATATTTCACTATCTACAAATATGTATTTTTACAATTGTGAAAAATACAGAGTGACTTCTACACACAAAACAGTTGTTACACATTTGCGGATTACTTCCTGTCAATTTGTGGGTCACGTTCCATTTGTAACTTCCTTTTTACGCATTTGTGGAATTTCCAATGTCCAATGTGTACTGCAGAGATCTGTAAAAAATATATAGACAAATATCTCACTACCCAAAACATGTATTTTTACATTTGTGTAAAATCATATCCACAAAAATACAGAGCAATTTGCAAATATGTACAATTTACTCCGTACACACATATTTTAATTTCACATACAAAGTGTTATTTATGCATTTGTGGATCTGTTTCTACACACAAAACCATTTTGCACATTTGCAGATCATTTCCTGTCAATTTGCAGGAAATGATCTGCAAATGATTTACATTTGTGACTTCCTTTTTCTACATTTGTGGAATTTCGTCCACTCTGTAAGTGTGAGAGCAGTTTCTTAGCTACACCAGCACTGCAGTACCCAGGGTCATCTGTAGGAGACAACAACTTCTGCAGGACCACTGGACTCTACTCCGTCTAACCTTTTCTGTACAAGTGCACATAGTTTGCTATTGACGTTATCCCTGCATTTGTTTTACATTTATATTTAAATAAATACATTTGAAAGCACTGTTGTGCCTACTGTTTGTAGGAGCTATTGTAAACCCTATGTAGAAGGTTAGTAGGGTTTACAAGACACATCAACAGCTCCATAAGATAAGTAGCTACTCAGAATATTGTCCTAGATTTAAGGCTGAAACATGGAGTCGTTCAGGACATGTGGATGTCTAGGGCAGTACTGGACATCTTGGGGTGCCGTTCCCAACCAACCCATTACCGGGGACCTCTTAGACAACATGAGGGGCGACGTTCACTTTATCAGACTAACCCTATGGCAGCTAATAAATGAATAGCCATTTGCTGGACCACCAGGGGTCCTTAAGGGTAAATAGTTTCCACCATAATTCCATCCATAAGTAACACAATGACAGTATGCATGAAATACACTTTCTGTAATAAAACATCTAAAAGCAAAAATCCTATCTGATAAGCGTGTTTGGGACAAAATCGTATCAAATGGAGATCTGTGGTCTAATTTGTGTCAGTTGTGTCATTTAGTTTGACGTGAAAAAAGACTGAATGCAAGGCAAGAGAATAAATATAACACTGTTTGTACTCATTGTATTTTACCTTTTATTGTGTGGAAAAAGAAATAGATATAAAAAGTATGATTTTTAATCCTTTCATGTCAAAAGATAACTTTAATTGAACTGCAGTATTCCTGAGTGGACTTTATAGAGGACAGAACTTCTCTGCTTTTCACATACTGTTACAAAGATTTCTTTCACAGCTCTGACAGGAAGATGTAACATATTACTACAAACACAAGGCTCATAGTTAAATATGAATGTAAAACAAATACAGTGATAAAGTATTCAACAGTAAACTACTTGTGTTTTGGGTTGTGAGACATTGGCCAAAATTCCACAAATTTGTTTCTCTTTTCTTTGAGCGGCCTTTCACTGTTAAACTTTATTTACTGTTGGTTAAATCAACAGACTGTAAAAACTGAAGGTCAACAACTATATTTGATCAAGATCAAGTGTTGCACATGTTTGGTTTTTCCATGTTAATAACGGCTGAATGTGACTAAACTCCGCTGAACTGGATCCATGAGCTGGGCTGAGTGATGATTTGATGTCAGTGACTCTTTCTAGTTTCAACATGTTTCTTCTCCTTCACTGAACATGTTCACTCTGCTCTACAAGCTGAGCAGCGTCCTGCAGCTTTTGCACAGATGCTAACTCTGCTCACTGTGACTCCAGTTCAATAACACGCTGTTTATTCCAGCTGATTAAAGGTGTGAATGTTGGTGTCGAAATAACAAAGTTACACAAAGTTCTTTACTTCATTTTGGATGTTCATTCAGGATTTATTCATCTTTAAATGAAACAAGTGAACGCTCCTTCTGTGAGTCACAGATTTAACTGCTGAATGAAAAGCTGCCTGTGTCTCAGAGTCTGTGTGATCTGGAAGTATAATGTAAAAACCGCAGGTGTGTTCGGGGCAGCGTGCATCGAGGTGCGACCCTGAAAATGTGCGTAGTCTACAGAGAAGGCGTTCGGGCCTTCCTGTACAAAAACACAACTTCTGTCTCACTGGCTAACTTACAAAGTTAGCACACAGACACATTTAGAGAATTAAAGTAGCTAAAAAACAGGATAAATATCTAAAAACAGCTTAGCTGCTGAAAGCTAACTAGCTAAAACAATACTATATGACTTTAAACAGGCTAACGTTGCTAACCTCTGACCGCATCTGGCTATCTGAAACTCCATTAGTCCGTTTCAAGAGCATTATTTTTTTATTTAGATTTATTGATCCAAAGTTAACAAAATAATTCTCCGTTGTTTAAACAAACGCATCAGAAACTCAACTTATATTCCTTTATCACAGCGAGAACTAAACCGTTTCACTCGTCCTCCCTCGTTAAAGGAAACACCTCCCGAGCTGTCGTCCCTCCTCTGATGCATCATAACGTCTGGACGACCTGATCAGGACGAGATCTGATACGAGTTTCCAATATTTTTATCCAACAGTTATTTCAAACAATAAAACAGAAAAGAAAATATGTCGCCCTGCTCGTCCATAACAACAATAACAAGGATGACACCGATCAACTACTGTGGCTTCAACAGGTGGCATTTTACACAAGGTGTCACTTAAAGTACTCTGCTGGTATCGTGTCACTTTAAGGGAACTGGTTTTGGTTTTGGTTCCGTAAAATTTCAAACGATACCCAAGAGAACAAAGTTCAGTCGGTCACATTTTTAGTTTTAGTTTGAAAAGAGACTCGTCCGGCCGGCCGCCCACAAACAGGTCAGCTGGTTGGACCAACCAGCCAATCAGAGCTTTGAAGCCACATTCAGAAGGGGGACGCCATCTTCCTGTACAGCTGGCTAATTAGCAACATCCATAAAAAAAGGGACACACAAATGCCTTCCAGCGTGACGAGATGTTTGCAGCCGAGCAGATTTTTATTCGACATTTTCAGCCACTCGTTGAAGCGTGAATGCTAAGCTAACAGCTGCTAGCTAGCTCTGCTGCAGCTTCTGTGTGAGGTCAGTGTTTTCACCCGTTCAGGATGAGTCCCTGATGTTTTATATACGGTCCACAAGGTCCCAAGTCTGCAACATCCTGACCAGCAACTGGAAACCCGTTTTTCAGCAGGTGGTCGAGAAGCGATGGACCCACAAACCTTCTTTCTGCGGCGGATGTGAAACGGACCCGGTCAGAGAGGGTCTCCAAAGTTCATGCGTGCGTCGCTGCTGTAGTGACCTCTTGCATGACGAGCTGGTAAAAAGCTAACGGCTAACATGCTAGCAGCAGTGGGACGCTGCGTCCCTATTGGACGATTACACAGCTCCAGATTTAAATCCCGTGCTGATGACGGACGGCGTGCGTCTTTCAGAGAGGCGTGTGAGTGGGTACAGAAGTCGGCTGTGGAGGTCAGGGTGGTGTCTGTCAGTGGTCGAGTTGCATTGTGGGTAGTTTGTTGTAGTTGGAGTGCAGCGGTCGCTCAGAGCTCAGACTTTAACGCCGCTGGATTTGGTTCCTCTTCTTCGCTTGGTTGCCGGCGTCATCACCTGTGGTCGTGACATCAGTGATGCTCGGGTCACCAGAGGCGACCTGGGTACCAGCGTCAACCAGTTGGTCTGCTGTGGCGGCGGCGCGGTCCTCGTCACCCTCGGCGTCTCTTCGACTGCCGCCACTCTGACGGTGTTCTTCCCGTACAGCCTCCTCTCGTACTGCAGCAGCTGCTCCCAGAAGCCGGCGTTCAGCCGCACGTAGGGCCGACTGTCCTGGACCCAGCGGTGCGCCTGGCGGAGCGTCACGCCTCTGTAACGCATCAGGTACGCCATAACCAACGCCGGGGAGCGGCTCATACCGGCGGCGCAGTGCACCAGCGTGCCCCCTGCACGGTTTCCGTGGATGCGCTCGGCCACACGGTCAAAGTGGTCTCCGAGGCGGGCGCTGGGCAGGTCGGAGACGGGCACCCGCACACACTCCACCCCCGGGTAGGCGGGGCTGGCGTGGCTGACCGTGGCGTTGACGATCAGAGTGATGCCCTTCTGCGACACCAGCGCTGCGTTGAGGGGGCCTTCGGCGCCGCTGAGGAACAGGGTGGGCGTGATCTGAGACACCGCCATGAGGCCGACCTGTCAGGAGACACATGATGCTGGTCACTCTCTGAACCTCCAGCGCACTACGGCACGTGCTTAGCCTAGCTTAGCACAAAGACTGCTAGCCTAGCGTCATCAAAAGAGAAAACGGCTCCCAGTCTGACTGACATGTTGCGTGTTGTTAGCTAACCAGCTGGTTGGAGTCCGTCCTGCAGTCAGCTGGTCTAGTTCGGCTCCACTCTGAGTCCAGGACTTTAGAGATGCTGCAGCCGTCACTGCTCCCAGCAGGGGGCGTCGACACACAGCTCCAAAGCTAATGCTGCTAAACGTCTCCTGTTTACAGTTCTGTTTCAACACCAGTTCAATAAAGATGTAAATCACAAGACGTAGCGGTTAACAAATGCTTTGGAGGGTGGAGGTTTTCTCTTTTGATGACGCTAGGCTAGCAGTTTCCCCCTGCTCCCAGTCTTTGTGCTAAGCTAGGCTAAACACGTCCTGAACATTTTTCCATCCAGGGCCAGATTAACCTGCGAGCGGCCCTGGAGATAGTAATGTAGGTGTTGCCTCTTCCCACATCTGTTCACTGTATATTGTACTATAAATAATAATTAAATAAAGTAATCTGGAGGGGCCCTCAGGGGCCCACTGTGTAATGCAGCTTTGGCTCCAACAATAACTTTTTACCCTCTCGTTCTCCACGTAAGTCAGACAGACTCGGAGCTGCTGCACATTTTCTCTGCGGACGGAGTCATGCTAGCAGTTTCCCCCTGCTCCCAGTCTTTGTGCTAAGCTAGGCTAACCACAACCCGGACCTGCCTCTGTACAAATACCATTCACTTCTGTAGACCAGTACCTGGAACAGGACTGATGAGGTCTCACAGGAACAGAGACTGGGAAAGACCTCAGAGGAGTATCAGAGAGTAAAATGTTCACACAGGTGTGACTGCAGGTGTGTGTGTGTGTGTGTGTGTGTGTGTTACCTGCTGCCCGGTCGGTTCCTTCACTTCAGCCTCGTTGTTTCTTCTTCTGCTTGCTGCTCTGAGTGAACACAAACCCCCCCGGTGATGCCGTAGAAGGCTGTGTGTGTCAGTCGGTCGGCCAATGAACTGAAGGGTTAATTTTAGTCCGACAGCTGACAACTCGTCCGGAAGTCATGTGACATGTGAATAAGACCCACAATCCTGAAGCCACTGGCTGATCTGTAAAACTCAACCTCGTGTGTTACTGACTGATGATTCGCACAGAAAGAACTGATGAAGTTTTCCAACATGAAACAGATTTAAAATATGAAATGTGATTCAGCAGAGATTATTATTATTACTGCTGTGTGAATGTTAGAACATATTTTAGTATTACTGAAGAGTTAAATGCTGAGGAGCTGAATCAAATCATTTTCTGTTAACTTATTTGTTGTGTGTTAAGTCTGAAATGTTATGAAGTTAAACTAACTCTACAGTTAATCCACAGCTGGTGAGAGAGTTTCTGCTGTAAACAAATGTCTGAAACAGTTTTCATGGGGACCCGAGGATTTCTAAAGTCCTGGTTCAGGTTCTGAGACAGACCGCTCACCTGTCTGGGCTCCTGCTGTCTGTAAGAACAAAATACAGCGCTGGATGAAGTATTCAGATCCTTTCTTTCAGTAAGAGTTCCAATACGTCACTGTAAAAATACAAGTAAAAGTACTGCATTGAAAACATTACTTAAGTAAATATAAGTATTATCAGACAGATGGCCTGTTATACTATATATATATATACACACACACACACACACACACACACATATCTCAGATTACTGGATTATTATTCCTCATGCATTCACCTAAAAGCAGGATTTTACTGAGCATTTAGTATCAGCCTGCAGCTAATGATCATTAATTCATTCTGATTATTTCTCCATTAACTGATTGCAGTAGTGAGACTGTTGTCACGGTGACGCCTTCATGTTTGTTGTCAGGTTAAACCTCAAAATGATTAAAAATATGAACTAATGTACAAACTGTTTAATTTAGAATAAAACATTAAAGTATTTCCCTCTGAGGGGAAAGTACCTCTAATATGTACTACAGTACAGTAAAAGTACTTCACCTCCGACACAACAACCCGGATGTCCGCAGCTTCTTCTTCTGTCCTGCGGGGGGCGGCGGAGGTTCTGCGGTTAGGAAGCAGCGAAGAAGAAGCGCAGCTAGCAGCTAGCCAGTTAGCTTCCTCCGTCATGGCGGAACTGAACCGACAGCTGCAGGAGTATCTGGCGCAGTCCAAAGGCGGCGGCGCCAAGACCATCTCCCAGTCCAGCTCCAGCACCACGGTGGACCTGGACGACCCGGAGCCGGTACCCGGGAGCTGGTTCGGGCGGTGGTCGCGCCCGTGGTCCGGGGGCCGCGGCGGCAGTCCCTCCGGGCAGAGCTCCGGCGGACACGGCGGGTTTTCCTGGCCGTGGTCGGCCGAGCCGGACCCGTGCCTGCCGGGCCTGAGCCGCCGGCAGCGGCTGGTGGCCTGCGGGGTCTGCGCGTGCTTCTCCGCGCTCTGCTTCGGGCTGTCCGCGCTGTACGCGCCGCTGCTGCTGCTCTACGCCCGCAAGTTCGCGCTGCTGTGGTCGCTCGGTTCGCTGTTCGCCATCGCGGCCGCGGCGATGCTGCGGGGCCCCAGCAGGCTCGCCGCCGGCCTGCCCACCTCCCCGGGGGCCGCGGTGTACCTGTGCGCCCTGGGCGGGACTCTGTACGCGGCGCTGAGCCTCCACAGCACCGTGCTCACCGCGCTGGGAGCCGCGCTGCAGGTCACCGTCATCGTCGGGTACGTGGTGTCGCTGCTGCCGGGGGGCAGCGCCGGGATCCGGTTCATGGGGGGCATGGCGGCGTCCGCCATCAAAAGGACCGTCACCGGGAAAACCATGCCGATCTGACCCGGTGTCAGACCCGGGACCCGGACTGAACTCAAAGGCTTTAAAGGCCGAGTCCCCAAACCGGGTCCGGGGGCCTCCGGGACCTGGAGAGGACCTACTTTATTTTGTTGAAACATTCCACGGCAGGCTGATTATTGATCATCGGCTGCCGTAACTGGAACTGAGGCAAGATCCTGGACCCTGACCTGCAGGACCCTGCTGCCGCTCAGGACCTGGACCCTGACCTGCAGGACCCTGCTGCCGCTCAGGACCTGGACCCTGACCTGCAGGACCCTGCTGCCGCTCAGACCACCACAGAAAGACTTTAAAGTGTGATAACATGTATCTGGGTGTTTGGAACTGGTGTGAGTGAAGAAATCTCTTTAATACAGGAAATAAAAATCTGATCAGAAGTTTGTTTCATGTTTTCTGTGATCAGCTGTGACCTCTGACCCCTGAGGGAAACACCCAGCTGCTGGGTTCAATCTGTGCATCTTTCATTCTTTGATCATCGTTTTAAAACCAAAACAGGAAAACACTGATGTTTAGTGTGACTCAGGAGCAGATCTGAGCTCGAACATCAGCTTAGTAAAAAGACGAGACTCGACCCGGGACGGGACGGGAACTCTGCCCGAGAGTCCTGCGGTTCTTCACAGATGAAGGTACTCGGCTGTGCGTGAAGGAACGATGCACAGACTGAAGCATGCTGGGCTACTTTAGAGTAGAGCTCGACACTGAAAAGCAAATAAAGGTCTGACGGTCCCTCGTATTTCACTACAGAACATCAGCTCGCTGTTTCCTGCGGCTCCCTGTCGGTTATTCAGCGTGCTGGTTTGACCTTACTTTGGTAGTCCAGAAGTTCTCAAACTTCTTCACATCAGACCTGGACTAGGGTTACGACCCCAGCACCAAACCCAGTCCCCCTACAGTGAAACCCATAGCGGGCATAAAGTAGCACCTGACAGGTCACCTTCTTCTTAGTGTTGTTACGGACAAGCGGTTTTATTTCTTTAAGTGATTAGTTCATCCTCACTGGCCTATCAGGGCAAAGCCTGCAGCTCGGGGGGGAGGAGTGAAATACTTTAGTGACCAAATACGAATTGAAGGAGATTTTTTGATGCGTGTTGAAAGTAAACAACAGAAAATGATTTAGTTAACTTTCCATCAAAGTGTTGAAGTTAAAACCACAGAGACGTGTTTGGAAACAGTTTCTCTCTTCCGGCGCGCCGTTCGTGTGTTTGACTGGAGACGTTTCGGTTCGTGCCGCTCATAGTTACGGTTGAGAAGGATGTTTCATTATGGAAAGTGTACGAAACCCACGACGTCACTCATTCAGTCATCGTGTTACAGAAAAAGATTTTTGATTTATTTGAAGACGTAGTTCACTGCGCTGATTCTGATGCGACTTTCCTGACGGACAGAAAGATCTTTTAAACGGACAAACTCAGTTCAGACTCTGCTGACCAACGTGTGGTTTCTGAAATAAGGTCCCGAGGGGCCGGAAGCAGGAGCCAGTGACTCTACAGAGTTTGAACCCAGCTTGGCAGGATCGTTCTGAACCGGTATGTGGCAGCGATGCAGAGATGAGGCCTGAAAAGGAATTTGTTAGTGAACGTGTGAAACTCCAGCTGAAGCCTTTGGTCCCGTCACCGGAACACGGTTAATATTAAGAACCAAACACTTACTTATGAGTCTTAACACATTTTTACTGATTTTACAAAGTGCCCCCCCCTCAGTCCCGGTCCACACGAGGACCTGCCCCCCCCCTCAGTCCCGGTCCACACGAGGACCTGCCCCCCCCCCCCATCAGTCCCGGTCCACACGTGGAGCTGGTGAAAACACGAAAACATAGAAATCTCTTAGAAAAAAGGAGCAGCAGCGACGAGCTGCAGACGAAGCTTCACTCGGACACAGACGAGGTACAAACACAGCCGGAGGTTCTCTACAATATGTTACATTAAAATCATCCCGTCCGGCCAGGGGCCAATCACAATCCTCCGTCCTTCACAGCAGCAGAGGTCTCAGTGTGTCACGTGACCACAAGTTCGTCTGAAGGTTTGTTCCAGGATCTGGACTCGGTCTGGGGCCTGTAGAGGGACGACCGCAGGAGACGAGGATCGTGGGAGTGCTTTTCATCGGGACTACCGGCCCCGTCCGCCCCCCCTCGGTGGTCCTCTGGGTGCTGGTCCTCCTCTCCTGGGGGCCGGTCCCGGTCCTCCGGGACCCCAGCCGCCTCGTCCACCTCGACCGGACGGGCCGTAGCCCCCGTCCTCCCTCTGAGGGGGGCGACCTGCAGGGACACGGGGGGGAGGGGGGTTAGATCTGACGGTGTTCTGTGGTTCCAGTCTAGTTTGTTCTGAGGTCTTTACAGATCAAATGTTTAACATAATGAGGCATCAAGGAAACGGCCGCTACCTGACGTGTGTGCAGAGGCGTGTCCCGGTACTTTAGGCCACTTAGTGTGTGTGAACCAAAGTAAACGCGGACCAACGAAAACTACATGTGAAAAAACATCGTTCACTGAAATACAAATAAAAACGAGGCTTTACAAAAAAGCGATAAACTAAAAGTGACTGAAATGAAAGTCCTTAGTTTTCGTTTATTTATTTCAGCGGATATGAAGCCGAGGGAACCGACGCCGCGGGCAGTTTCGAGGTGCGCGTGTTGGAGGCGCCTGTTGGTGTGCCGCGGGTGTGTTCTGCTTTTGTCCTCCGCGTGAAGAGCTGCACGCTGCGCGGCGTAGCGGCTGGCCACCGCCGGGAGGCTAACTTAGCCGGGGAGACCCAGGCAGGGATCAGCTGGTAGTTGGTGGGATTTTAATATGTTTTCTATCTTTTATACATGTGGACAAAATAATATGAATGCAACAACTGTTTAGTTCGGGTTGCAGGTAGAGAGTCGCTGTCTTGGTGGTTTTATTTCCTTGTTCTGTTCTGGTGGTCTGGCTTGGAGCTCATCCTGCATGTAAGACGAACTTGCCCCTTGTACATTGAGTGCGAGCTCCCCTTGCTGCTGGGTCAACTGTCTGCTGGTCATTATATTTACTGCATGTCAGCTAGTGTGTGTTTCACGGGGTCATTGATATCTCAGCCAGCCTGTCTCTTTGTGCTTCACATTGTTTTAATACCTTTTTTTGATTAACAAACTGCTTTCCAGTCAGACTTGCCTTCAGGCTGCTAGAGACCTGTTGTTCGTGGCTCCACGGGGGGCCTCCGCTATCTTCCAATTTCTTAGCTCTCCATCAATCGTATTTCAGACTGAGGTAATGAATTTCTTGGCACCACTGAGTATCTGAGGGTTTTCTACTGTAGATGTATCATGTGCTTCATTTATTTGTAGTGTTTATTTAGACAATGTGTCAGAACTTGGCTTTGTGCAGCGACAAAATCTGAACTAAAACTAACCAAAAAATAAAAACTAAACTAGCACATTAAAAACTAATTCAAACTAAGACTGAAAAAGAAAAACTAACGTGCATCAGAGAGCCGCGCTGGGATCCCGCGGGACCCAACACAAATGAAGCGGGCGGTTAAAAAATATACTGCGGGTCCCTCAGTAGCGCCGACAAGAAGATAACAGCTTCTGAGAACGTGCTGCACGGGCCCGACTCGACGAGGAGGTTAAACCCCGCGTCAGGAGCGAGGTTTCCTCACTGCACAGCTGTCACACGGGTTTCTACAGTCTGTTATTCTGAGCGCAGCCCAAACATCTGCGTCCTTCTCTTACTCTGCATGTCAATGTTTGCCTGAACGCAGCTCAGCTGATTACTGATCTCAGGTTTTTGTATAGCATCTTCCTCCAAAATAACAAATGTTCAATAAATATCTGATTCTTTTGAATCCCAAAACAATCAGCACTTTCTTTTCTATTCAGATATTTATCGTGTTGAGGAAAAGGGTGTTTGTTGTTTTGCATGTTGTGCCTCAGCAGTTTGACACCAGGCTGCTGTTTGGCATCAAGTGTTTGTTCTGACGTTAAGAAAAGCTGAGAAACACAGTTAACCACCAAACACAATCCTTTAAACTTCTAATAATTCAAAGAATGATTAAATAATGAATTTACGGTTTGTGTCCACATACTCACACACTGCTGAGGAGTAACTTACACACTGTAAAGCTGCAGAGAGAAAGTTATTTTAACCCGTAGATACGTTCTTGGACCTGCGGAGGTGACGTAGGCTGCAGCTGTTTGACAGAACGGTCGGATCTTCCCCTACTTTAACTTTAACGACTGGCGATAGCTGCGGACTTCTGGCTGCCTGTCACGTCAACGTAAACGTAACATGTGGGTTGTAATAATGGCGAGGTCAAAATCTAAATCATACAAATACACGCTACAC